ATTTCGTCTTCTACTATCTACTCTTCTACGTCTACTTTCTACTCTTCTACTTCTACCTATCTACACCTCTCTCTCCACCCCTCTCTAAACTCTCACTTTCAACTAATGACCCTCCTCGCTCCTCCCACCTCTCTACCTCTCACCCCAAACCCTCACTAATTACTTCACTATTCATTTCTTTCCTTTCGTTTTCTCGTATACGTTTGTGGCAGTGATTTTGTATTCTAGAGTTCTCTCTAGAGTTTCGGGTAACTGATCAAGTCTCGGCGCCTTGTAGTCTTAGCACCTAGGTAGTCAAATACCTAGGTTACAAGGTGTTGAACGAGAGAGGTTGCCTTAGGAACTCTGGAGGTGCTCTAGAATAGTTAGCTAACTGGGGACGGGATAACGGACAAGAGAGAGCTGTTTCCCCCGGCCTCGTTAGTTAACTGGGGGGTGGAATAATGGATAAGATAGAGCTAAGACCCCCACCCCCCGTTACACGTACAATATTAATTTGAAGGGTTTTATAGTATTGACTATACAGTACTATTGTATGCTGAATACTGCAATACAAAAACCACTATACACTACCATCATTGCCACTTTCATTGCAAAATGAACACGATGACTCTGGAACTTTAAATGTTGATGCTTTTATGGTGCTTCTAGCAAAATATTGGTTCATTTTTGTTTCCTCTGTCCTTTTGTGATTTGAAGCATATGTCTTTCTTCCCTCCTAAGAGTTGACAGTAACCTCAAACAGTTTGTATAGCAAAATCAAGGAAGCTATCAACATATGAAGCAGCCTACTGCCCTTATCACCGCCGCCACTGTCCTGTAATCACTGACAGTGAAGCACTCGTTAAGTCACCTCCTCAACTGCCTCTCGTAGTTCTTCATAAATTTCATTCTGAGACTTAAAAAAATTGTTATTTTTCCTCAGCAGTATCAAGTAACAAAATTTTCGCCCATAAATTTCTTAATGTCTTTTAACTTTATTCAAAATATCAGCCCAGCCGAAAATTCCTTTGCAAATGTAGTATTTTCTGTAGCGTTCCAGTGCTGCTTTTCCTTGAGACTCATCCTGTCTTTTATAGGGAGAGGGGGGGGGGGTGTAGAAATAGCCTAAGCTATTCTATCCCTTTGAGATGTATTTTTTCTTGTCTCGATAAACATACTTGAACTTGAACTCCTGTCTTGTCTCCCTCTGCCTCAGTGAACACCATCACTTCTTTATTTATTGTTCGTTTACAGAACCTTGCTTATCGAAGTTTCCCTTGTCAATCCATATTCCAATCCAATCCAATCGGGGTTTTGGTGGTGGATTGGTTACATCTGTTGAAGAACTTGCCTGGATCAGTGTCCTCCAACTTGTTCAGTATTTTAAAAGTTTCGATGAGATCTGCACTGTCATGTCTGGTTTGCAGTGGTGTTAGCCCTGTGATACTCAACCGCTCCTAGTTGAGAGTCGTCCATGCTTTAGGCTTATAGAAAGGTGCCCCAAAGGTTAAACTACTTACCGTTCCAAAGATGCAACCCCACAATAAGCTAACTCCTAGGTATAATTAAGAGCAGTCCGAGACTATAGTAAAAAAAAAAGTTTTCTGTCCATTATGGCTTATTGAACTTTTAGGCATTTTGTAGTGTGGTACCCACTTGTGGGTTCGCCGGGAGGTATCTTGGCATCTGTCTTACAGGGTATATGTCCAATAAGGCGCAGCAAGTTACGGGCTCACATAGCCCGTAATATTTGCCCCGCTCCTGTGCCAGGTAAGTTACGGGCTCACCATAGCCTGTGCTATTTGCCCCGCTCCTGTGCCAGGTAAGTTACGGGCTCACCATAGCCCGTGCTACTTGGAACTTGTTCCGAGTAGCTGAACCCATAACAACAAACAACAGTCAGTGGTTCAGAGGTCACGACCTCTACGTAGGGTGCAGTCGCACCTCCACAGATCTCCAGTATCAGCCATTGATAATGGTAATGGCTCCAAAGGGCCACCACTTACGGGCTATTCATGCCCGTGCCACCTTTTGGGTGGTTTAATCTTCATCAATCAATCAGTAAATCAATGGTTATCGGCGTATAGACTCTGGGGTGAAAGGGACACAGATCTGTGCTGTGGCTCCGCCAGACCCAGTAACAAGTCCACTAATACATCACTTGCTTCAGGAAAGTGCGTGAGTAAATCTGTTCTATATATGTTTCAACCGTGTTTGCTGGTGAGAGAGCAGTCCACATCATAATATAGAGAGGACGGGTTAGGTTAGTCTTACCTATGGTTAGGGTTTTATAGATTACCAGACGGCCACCATCGATCTCGTGGTCGCGACAGGGACAGGAAACTGGCAGGTTGTCAGAGGTTCCTTCCCCCATTTTCCGTGAGGAGTTCTTCTAACTGGATTTAGAACTGTAATAATGTCCTAGCTTTGGCAGGTAGGTAGTTCCATGGGGTTTTACCTGTGGGGCCACTGACACTAATGGGCTCGATGAGGATAGGAAGCTGGTGGCTTGTCAAAGGTTCCCCCATTTGTCCTGATGATTTGTTAAAGTTCAGCAAAGTTTTGGCATTTACTACTTTGGGTTTCACCCCCTATGGGTGAAAAAGCATTTCCTGTTTTCTGTCCTACATTGTGGCTTGATGAAGCTGTCATTGCTTCATGACATGATATGCAACCCGTTCTCGCACTTGCTTTTAGTCAATATTGGCTTATTTAATAAGTGCATATGTGACATACTAATTGATTGTAAATATTTTAGTTTACCTTGAAAATCTTCATAGAAAACACCGACCTCACCTAACCTTCTTAGTATTGTAACGTACGATTATGTTACGTTGTTGGGTTGATTAGATACACAGTGTTTAGTGAGTTTCATATTTATTTAGTAGTCCTGGATACAGCAGTGTCGTAGACGCTGAGGCGAAGCCTGGAGCAGAGCAGAGAGCTGAGTGAGGCCGGAGTCGTGGAGCTCTATGTGGGAGAGCGTGGCGGCTCGATTGAGAATTGCAAGTGTCTAAACTCGGGGAGCGAGAGCGTGGCGGCTCAATGCGGTCGTAGTCTGCTGTCTGCTCTGTGTCGAAGCTGTAGCGTCTTGGGTCGATTAGGACAGTACACGCCCAGTGCTACATTGTTGACTGGAAATTGAACTGTCTTCTATTCATCAAATCGTTGCTTATATGGTGATTACACCTCAGCTTCCTCCAACAAGGTGAGAAGAGTATTACCTGTAATTGGGGAAAGGATTGTAGCTTCTGTAATTAGTTATGCTATTAAGATAATGAGATAATGGAGCGAGTATAAGATTAACTCGCTACAGTATGTTTAGATAAGCATCTTATTGCTTCTTTTTTACAATTATTACTTAACCTATCAACGGTATAGGTTAAGTAATAATTGTAATTAAGAAGCAATAAGATGCTTATCTTAACATACTAAGAAGGTTAGATGAGGTCAGTGTTTTCTATGAAGCTTTTCAAGGTAAACTAAAGTATTTACAATTAATTAGTATGTCACATATGCACTAATTAAATAAGCCAATATTGACTATAAGCAAGTGCAAGAATGGGTTGCAACATGACAGGGCTCTTTGTGTTACTCGTGACTTTTTAAAGGAGTGATTAGCTTTAGGTCCTGCCCGAAACGCTATGCATTACTGTTAAGCAAACAGGAGACATTTAGTAAAAGGAAACATACACAAATGTCTTTGACCTGTTTGAGAATTAAAGCTGGGACCTTTCAGTTGTGACAAAACTGCCCTCACCACTCCATGAAGTTGTACAGGCTTGTTTTATCAAGTAAAATATAATATTGTAATATATAAAACAAATATTTTTATAACTACAGAAAATCACATAATACAAAAATTAAAGTGAATCAAAGTGCTATACTGTTTATTATAAAATCATATCATATGTAAGGCCATGGCAGCATTGGCAGTAACAATTACAGCCCGGTAAGTGCCAGGTAAGTTCACTATGGGCTCACCATTGCCCGTGCTACTTGGAACTTTTGTTACGAGTAGCTGAATCTAAAACAACAACCTTTTAATCAAAGTATCCAAAACCTGGAATGGAATAGCATATTCACATTTTGGATGTTTTAGGATTCCAATAAGACTGTTAACATACTATCAGTGCTATCCTGACATATATTTTTAAATAGTTGGGTTTTCATAGTACAGTACTTTATCATGATAATTACCTTACCTTGCCACCTGTTTTGTTCAGGTTTTAGATGCTCAATCATATATAAATTTTACAGAGAATGGGAAATAATTCACTATTGAGTGAAACCCCACAATTCATATAGCTGTACACAGCTCTTGACTATAATAAATCACTGGTTTTGTGCCTACTTGTCGGTGAAGGCATATAGTTAGTGCTGCTCAGTGTGTAGAAAATTTTAGTCTCTTATCCTTCTTCTAATTTGATCACCTTATCATTCCTTATTTTTAGCTTTGGGTTTGTGTTGAGTCAAGTTTCAGAAACTCTTGATATAGTTTGTCTTGTAGTTAAAGTTGGAGTACATATAAGTGGCCATGGTCTAATAACCTTAGTTAATAATCTAATGATCATTCCAAAGCTAAATCAACTCTCATATCAGGAACTGTTGAGGGCCACAGGACTAACAGCACTTCAGACCAGGCATGACAGAGTGGATCGCATAGACACTTTTAAAATTCTGAACAATTTAGGGGATGTTGATCTGGGCAATTTCTTCTAAAGGTCAGATGTAACACAAACAAGGAGCAATGGTTTCAAGCTCAACAAGCCACAATGTAGGACTGAGAACAGGAGATGGTTTTTCACCCACAAGGTTATAAACCCATAGAACTGCCTACCAACCAAAGCTGTAAATGTCAAAACTCTGTTAAAATTTAATATTCAGGTAAATAACAGACTACAGTACATATAATTATTCCCTCAATAAGTTTTTCTTTTAGGTTTCTCGCTACAACAAATTTAAAACTCTTGGAAATTAAGTTTTTATAAAAAAAATTGTTAGAACAATAAAATTCCTTATTTATTGTGCATTTTATTATTAATCAATAGAAATGAGTATAATTTTATCTCCATATAAATAACATAATCAAATAGGGTATTAAAGCTATTAACATAATTCATTCCATCACATTTCATCCTCAGTTAATCAGGAATGTGTAGGATACAGTTTGCTTTTTAGTTTGAATGTTTGTGTATGTTTATTCTGTATTACTGTGTGTGTGCTTGTACATATTTAAGACAGAATTGTATTTTTAAATTACATGACTAAAATTCTATTAGCCTTGTGGGATACAATTTATCTGTTAATGCTCTCGTAAATGTTGTTCCACTTATGGCCCAAAAATCACTCGCATGAAAACATACTTGTATCAGGTTTGTGATTTCATATAAAAACATATACAGTATAATACTATTAAGAACATACATATAACTGTAATATTATTAATATGATTACTGTAGATGGTTTTCCCTGGGGAATTTTGTTAAACTGTTGGTAGTTTAAGAAAATGTCTGCAATTATTTGCATCAATTAACAAACATTGTGATACCATTAATTTCAAAGCGTGAATTCTGGTTATGCAACTATGGAACAATTAAAGGATAGACTCCTTAGTACCAGCTGACTAGTAGACTTTGTTAGGGCAACTACATAATAGCTTATGATGTATTTGACTAGTCTTCTTAGATGACAAATTTTCAGTTTTAGTAATCTTTTTAGCAAAATTGAATATTCTAAATGAAATTGACACTTCAGAATCATATCCTGAGATCATAAATTGGAGAACAATAGCTATATTAACCTAAAATACATGATTTGTTTTTATTGAAATTACTAGAAAATCAAAACAAGTTGAAACACAGCCTGGAGAAGCCAAGCTGGTAAGGAAAGTTCTCATGCGTATCATGAGTTCATAAAGAACGTCTAAATCATTACATTGTGTTGATAGACAATATTGTTGAACCATTGCAACTATAAACAGTAAAAATGACACTGACGAAAGTTATTGAGTGTGGCAGTGTGGGTTCAATATGAAACCAAATATCTCTGAATTGCATTCAAAGTAAACAAAAAAAAAGAAAATTAAAAAGGTGGTCAATATCATTATCATACCATTAAAGTAACGAGTAACTGAGGTGCAACAAAAAAACGTCACAAACCAAATGGCCTTTTGAAGACCAAGGACTCTGTACACACTAAACAGCATTTATAAAATCTTAAATTCTTAGGTTATTAGCTCTGTGAATTCTTCTTTTTTATATATTTTTTTTTAACACATTTCTTGTGAAATCTCCCACCCCCACAGAACAGAATTCTAACCATCTTTCTACATTGTGTATCTTCACAGGAAATATACTACAACCTATCTGGATAAGCTCTCAGACTTAAGCTATTTTTTATCTATTGTAATTTAATACTGAAAGCAATTTTTTTGTTACATTAACTGATTCAGATACATAGCTTTCAGTAAATATTCTCTATCTCCCTAATACTTTAATTGCAATATCACTGCTACTTTTGGTTGACATTGAATTAACTTTGTTTTGAAATAACTCGCCAGCATAATTACTACAAATTTATCATCGTAGAAATATTTTCTCTCCTCCCCGATGTTGAACTTCATGGTTACCTGAGGTTATTCACAACTCTCCATTGTGCCCATTAGAAACATTTATGGTTGACAGGCCAGGACTCATGTCCTTACACTTGATCACTAGATAGAGAGTGGCAATTGGGTAAATTCACAAACTACCTCACTAGATGGGCATAAGAAATACTTTCTGGTGCAGGTACATATTTTCACTCGCTATAATATGCATTTATTCAATAATTCATTTACTGTCTTGCAAGGACCTTTGGAGTCAACCACTTCATAAAATCATTTAACATTATAATTACTACCCAGTATATGTGCTAATTTTAATTCTGATTTTTAACTGATACTTTCTTATATTTTATTATGACTTTAAAAAAATACAGTAATTAAGATCCCCCCAAAATTATAATCCATTTTTATCTAAAATAATAATTTTTATTAGTACAGCACAATAGTGTTATATCCAAAACAATACTGAACATGTTTAAAAGATTAATTGCCAATGACAAAAGTTTATTACACATTTATGTTCCACAAATATATAAGGCTTCCATTGAATGTGCCCTTAGAATTATATATTCGTGTGGTGCAAGGAGCATTGAGTGTCACTTGCCCGGAACTGGTTACTTGCCTCTCAACTGTCACTAATAACCAGTAAATCCTTAGTTTCTTCCCGTTAACAAAGATACAATGTTAAATATACGTATGTTTACTATTTTCTTCAGATATACAATACTGAAAACTAACTTCATCTATTATTATCACAGCATGTGTTTACAAAACTTTAAGTTGTTGATGACAAATTTATTCCCTGCTTGAATATATCAATAAAATTAAATGTATACTGAAAATAACCATAGTGACAGTACAAGTATATGACATATATTTCACTATAATAATTATCAAATAGCACTTCTGGTGTTCGTAAGAAATGTTTACAAATTTGTATCATAAGAGTGCACCACAAATCTATTTCATTGGTTGGACAAAAGCCTTGTGAATTTATACTGTAAACAGATAAGAAAATAAGTTATTGTTTAATGAATTACATGATATTGCAGACCAAGAGCTGAGCATAGTGTGTCACAATGAGCAAGGTATCGATACAAAATGGAAAAAATGAAAACAAATTAACAAGTACTGTATAGCTAAATTTAAGCAATTACAGATTAAAATAAGTAATCAATGAATAGCAAAAAATGACAAGGCTAATATTTTAAAATACTATACTGTAGTTGGATATAGGATGTCACATTTTATTGTTCATAAAATGCATTATAGAATATGAACTATGAGGCGAAGCCTATATACCGAGGAGGGAAGGATATGCAAACCAGCATGGATCACGTCATGAGCCATATTGCATCACTAGTAAAGAAACTATGTAAAGTAAATAATGTAAGAATAAGAAAAATCTTCAGAAGGCTTATTTTACAAGAACGGAAGCGTCTGTCAATGATATTGTGAGGGCAACTGTTTACAATAATTTCAAACTTTTTCTCACATCAACAATATTTATGAAACTGTAAATTAAAACCTATTTTAATATATAATCATGTGATAATATAGTTGTCAAATATTTGATAAAATAATGTTATGAACAAATATTACAAGAATATCAATATACAATGTCTTTTTCATAGGAAAAAAGATTCTTCAAAATAAAAAAAATTCTTCTAAATATGGAAAAAAGCTTAATCTGTTTTGTTGAAAGAAATCTTGTTTAGTAAAGAAAAATGAAGGACAATGAATATGCTTATCATGAATAATATTAGTACAATACACCAATTATTTCTTAAACAAGTAGGCACAATAGTGTAAGACATACATTGTAATGCTGGGCTAAGTCCTGCACAGTGTGGGGTATTTTGAGGACAACAGTGTAAAACGTACATTGTAATGCTAGACCAAGTCCTATACAGTTTGGGTGTTTTGTGAGGACAGTAGTGTAAGACATACATTGTAACATTGGGATAAGTCCTGTACAGTATGAGTTTTTATCATGAGCAAAGTATTTGGTCCACTGAATAGCAGATATGATATGGGAGCATACTAGTAATACATGTTACAGGAAGATACAGTTTCCTTGCTGTTCACATTAACCCTTAGTACCTGGTGATAAAAATATGTATCCCTGCATGTTAGTTGCCCATGAAGCACCAGTTGGTAAGGAACAACAGGATGTCGACAGCTGTAAGAAACAGCTTTTCAATTTGATATCATGATTCCAAATTATCATGATAACATGGCCACATACCATACGAATGCTAGAGAACATATGCAATAATTATACCTGGTAGACCTGTTACTGCTGACATTAAGGATTGCATAAGCTTTTATTGGCTGGTGTCTAGTCATTTATTAAGTCCAGTAAATTTTTAATGCTGCAGTGCTACAGCATAAGCATGCCCATCACTCATGTGGTTAAAAACAGAAAGCAATGGCTTATTTCCAAATGATATACCTTAAATTGTACATGACATATGTTATAGGATGGATATTCAAGGCAAGCAATGATTTATGCAGTTGTGATCAGGAGAACTGTATGGATGATTCATCCTTAAAACTTTTGCAAACAGTTTATTTTGAACTGGTTATGATGTAGAAACTGTTTCAATATAAAAAAATTAAAAATATTTTACAGGATAGTCAATCTCCAAAGGTCAATTTTGTAATTAAACATTTACTTGTACATTGCCAATGATGTCATTCATTCTGCTATGTTCAAAATCTCGAGGAATGTTACACATACTAATGTAATCTTCAGTCTTTCATGTGGAATTACTGTTTTTCAATGTTAAGGGCTGAGTACAAGCCTTTGTTTCACCATCATAGTTCAACCACAGTGTTGTATCTGAGCTTTTTTATGCAGTGATTAAACAGACTATATTGTGTACACAACTGCAGTTTGGTTACTGATAAATTCATACAGTATGGCAGATTGTCAGTGCCTGAATATAAATTGAATTTTGTCTTAAAAGGCAAATAGTGAAACATTATAGTACAAAATATGTTTTAACAACATGCCTGAAGAGGACACACATGCTCGAAGCTTTTTTGTTTATTGGTTTTCAGTTTTCATTTCTTAATTTAGCATTGCTATATTAGAAAAATATGAAAAGTCAGAGAAAAAGAAATATCTAAAAATGTACAGCAATATATATATTCCTTATATGCAATATAGTTAAAACAAATTCAGTTTAATCCAATTTTTGTGGATGTTACATTTTAACAAGATTGACCTCATGTTAATTAGCATATTCATCAGGAATAAATTAATTGTAAGACATGCATTAATTGCCTTTCTTCCTCCACAAGAGTGGCATGCACACCACCTGGACACACCTCACATGTGTTCTGAATGATATATCTTCATTTGGATAAACACAGTTAAAGTTCAGTTTTTTCATTTTGTCACACATTTTTTCCCTGGATTTATTCCATAATGTGTCATTGAGTTTTGTTTATATTTCTGCCACGTATGGAGAAAATGGAATTAATGATGCATATTTGTTCAGCAAAAGGCATCATTGACACAGAAAATGGCACATATGAGGAATACTTCACACAGAGTTTATGGCTTCCACAAGATGACGTTGTCATGTCACAAGCTAGAGGAGGTGACATTGTTACACACACACACATTGATAATGTATGAACAGCTGATTGAAACACCACATGAAACAAATGATGTGAAAGGATGATACAGCACAGCAGTGATGTCACACATTGACTACCGAGTCTCGTTTACCAGGTTCAAGGGAAAGAGCAGCAGCGGGGTCCTTGCCAGATTCTTTTAGTTTTTCCTGCATCTGACTCAGCATTTCCTGCATACGTCGGATCTAGAAAATGACATAAAAATTAAATTTCACAGTGCCGTCAGCCATAACAATACACTCGACTGCCATTTTAAGCAATATCATCATGCTGCAGACTATTTAAAAACATAAGAACTATGATGCACTAGTCATTGAAAGCTACTCAGCAAAAATGGAGTTTCAGTAAAGAAAAACAATAAAACTTTATAAATACTTTAATGAATCTTTGGTTTCAGTGAAAAGAAATTTATTATTCAGGCATTAAAATCTCTGGTATGCCAGATCTGGACTACTATATCCATGAAAGCATGGAGACCTCACCTTTAGAATGATAAATACTTTACAAAACGTTCAACACAGAACAACAAAAATCATCCAAGAAGTCTACTCTTATCAGGAAAGATTGTGAGCTTCATGACTAACAATGCCCATCATGTCTGGTTTATAGCAATTTCATTGAGACATTTACAGTGCGGAATAAATTGGAAGATATTAATTCAGATACATCCTTAAAAGGTTCAATGTAACCTTCACGAGGGGTAACATCTTAAAGCTCAACAAGTTATAATACAAAATAGAAAATGAGAGATGATTTTTCATACATGGGTGGTATTATGAATTATATATGAAAATTACCTTCCTCGTGAAGCCATAAATGCAAAGACAGTAGTTCAGTTCAAAATTCAGGTGGAAAAATCCTCGAGAATAATCAAGGTACCTTTGACAAGCTTGTCAAGATCGCTGGAGATGGTGGCCCGTGGAAAATTCAAGTAAATAAGTGCAACAAGTTAACGTAACGGAGGAGCCTTCGGTGGCTCTCTGAAGTTGTTTCACCGAGATGGCTTCCCCTACTATATCACATCTTTAGGAGACCTGTATGGCTTATCATGAACTGGGCTAGAATTTGGCCCCCCCCTTCCTCGCAGAGGCACAGGCACAGGGTATTATTATTATCACTCTCACCTAGAAAAACATACAAGAAAGTAAACAGCTCCAAGGTTCACAGAAAATGAAGCACCAAGGCAACCAAATGATTGAGCAGATGATTCACTCAAAACTAGCTTGAATCCGTTATTGCGAATAGCCACTAACAAGTAGGGGAGGATTGACTAGGCGACAATCCTTAACTGTATGCCTCTGTTCACCCAGTAGTGAATGAGTACCTGGTTGTTAAATGATTTGGCCGGTCATATTCCAGGGAAAATTAAGACTAAGGACATGCCCAAAATGCTATGTGTGCTAGTGGCTTTACAAGAATGTAAAACTCTTGTATATATATACTGTGTATGTATGTATGTATGTATATGTATGTGTGTGGCCATTCTTTGGATGAAGGGGGTGTCTATGACTTGGCATTTCTGTCTCTTCAGACATCAGGCACAGAACTTGGTTCAGCCCAGGTGTTTCATTAGACATCTGGGTCTGTAATGTGTGAATTCTTGGCCCACTGTGGTCCATAGATGCATCTTCATTTTGGAGGTTTCTGTTGTCCCTCTGTGTGTCTTTTCCACCTTGAGTGGGCATAATCCAGACTGTTTCCTGATGGACCCAGCTTCCTTTGGGTTCAGGTCAGCTCTTGCCTTGTGGCTCAATTTGGAGTTCCTGCTTTACCCTGGCTTGCAGGCAGCAATCTGTTCTCCTTGGAGACTTAGCATACCTTTTTCTGTACCAAGATGCTTGATTAGCAAGAATGGTTGAGGGTCACAGGGCTAGCAACATTGCAAACTGGACATGACAGGGCCGATCTCATTAAAACCTTTAAAATACTGAACAATTTGTCGGACATTAATCCAGAAAAGTTTTTTAAATAGTCAGATGTAACACAAACAAGGAACAACAGTTTCAAGCTCAACAAGCCACAATGTAGGACTGAAAACAGGAGATGCTTTTTCAGCCTTAAGAGTTACAAACCACCTCCCTGACAAAGCTGTAAATAATGCCAAAAACACTGATGAATTATAAAATCCAGCTTCAAAAATTCATCAAAACAAATGGGAGTAATCTTTGACAAGCTACTGGTTTCCTGTCCTTGTCGAGGCCACTAGTGCGTTACTGGCTCTCAGGTAAATTCAGGTAAACATACAGTATTTAGCACAAAGCCTAAGACCATATTGATTTGGGAGACCACAAACTCATACTGTACTCCGTTTTGACCAGAATAGAAGGCGACTGAATAAACAGAATCTAGTAAATGTACTTTATCAGTTTCCTGGCTAAAGGGATTAAATTTTACAACCAGGAAAGTATGTTCACCTCTTCATCTTTCTGTTGAAGTAATTTATCTGCATCTCCAACTTGGTCAAAGTTTGCAGCACTTTCTCTCTTGAGTTTGTTTCTCTCCTTCATTGCAACCTGCTGGAGGATCACCATGGTTAATAAGATGAACATAAAAAGAATTATACAGTATACTGTAGTACTGTAATTAAAATTTTGAGTAATTTTCAAATATAAATATAATTCAAGGCCAATTTACAAAAATGACGGCAGAGAGGAAGATAAATTGAGAGAGCTTTAAAAAGACACAAAATAGATATAAAGTTAAAAGTAAGAACAGTGTTACAATTGGAGGCTTGTATGCAGAAAGGGGTCCCGGTAGTATAGTCGGGTTCGTTCTCAATGCACAAACAATGATTCCGGGTTTGAATCCCGGGCAGGACAGAAATGGTTGGGCACATTTCCTTTCACCTAATGCCTCTATTAACCTAGCAGCAAGTAGGTATTCTGGAGGTAGTCAGCTTGTTGTGGGGTTGCATCCTGGGCAGGGTCGGTAATTCAACCCTGGGGGAGACCTCGATAAAAGCCTAACGTGTATGAATACACTCTGGCTTCCTGTTCTCCAACACAGGGAATTATTATTAGAGGTTGTATGAATATCCAAGTGTTACAAATTCAGGCCTATGTGCAATTGTACGGATGTTAACTAACAAACTCACACTAAACAAAAAATTACTGTACGTATTGTTTAGGAGCAAATCAAGCCAAATAGACCTTCAAATAAACAATATTTCTGTGTGTAATGTTCTTTACCAGTCTCCGTGGTGTAAGACACTCGCCTGGCGTTTCGCGAGCGCTTTGTCATGGGTTCGTATCCTGGCCGGGGAGGATTTACTGGGCAAAAATCCTTAACTGTAGCCTCTGTTTAACTCAACAGTAAAATGGGTACTTGGTTGTAAAAACGATTCTTCGCGGCGGGGATCATATTCCAGGGACCTGCCCGAAACGCTACGTGTACTAGTGCCTGTACAAGAATTTAACAACTCTTGTATACTGTATACAGGGGTATCTTTAAAAAAAAAAAAAAAAAAAAGTACATTGATAGTGAGATTTTATGGGCTATTCATGCCTGTGCCACCTCTTGGGTGGCTTAATCTCTATCAATCAATCAATCGAGAATGAAAAGTGAGGCAAGATTCCTAACTTTGTACATTGACGATAGACATGACTTCAACTCTCACATACAACATTGTTGAAATAGTATCCAAAATAATTGGCATGCTTTCAAAATTATATGATGTGTCCCACACTGCATATTTAACATAGACAAGACATATATGTTGCTTATAAATCTATTAAGTAAATAGATCTCAGAAAATACAGTACCCAAATTGAAAGAGTAAAAGGAAATTCCTTGGCGCACACAGACAAAAAATTGAATTTAAATTTAGTTTTAAGTATTACCCATTCAACTTGCATATAAATCTAATAATTTGTATGTTATGCTCGAAATGCTCTGTGTATTAGTGACTTTATGTACAGTAATGTAATAATAATAATAATAATAATTTTATTTAGGTAAGGTACATACATAAAGAGATTTTACAAAGTTTGTTGGCTTTATAGATAGAGCTAGTACATACAATGCCTAAAGTCACTATTACGCAAAGCGTTTCGGGCAGGAAAAACATTAATGACTAAAGCTTAAAACTAATGGGTAAAAAGAATAAGATGTGTTGAGTACAAATAAAAATAGAGGTAAAAGAGGGGGGAACATTGTTGAAAAAGCAGCACAAATACAATTACAAATTATTACAGAAAATTACATTCAAACAGCGTTGATTTGAAAAACAAAAAAAACAAAAAACATACATGGTTTGACAACAGAGGGGTAAGGTGAGTTACAGGGAATTTATTAGGTATAGCTTCGTTTTTAACTTAAACTGGTTGAGAGAGGTACAGTCTTTAACATGGTTGGGAAGGTCATTCCACATTCTGGGCCCCTTGATTTGTAGAGCATTTCTGGTTTGATTAAGTCGTACTCTAGGAATATCAAAACTGTATTTATTTCTGGTGTGGTGCTCATGGGTTCTGTTACAACCTTCTATGAAGCTTTTGAGATCAGGATTGGCATTATAGTTTAGCGTTTTATATATGTATAATACACATGAGAGAATGTGCAGTGACTTAATGTCTAACATATTCAGAGATTTGAGTAGGGGTACCGAGTGATGTCTGGGGCCAGAATTGCATATTGTCCTAATAGCAGCTTTGTGTTGAGTAATTAGAGGACGTAAGTGATTTTGGGTAGTAGAGCCCCAAGCACAAATACCATAGTTGAGATATGGATAGATAAGGGAGTAATAGAGAGTCACCAGGGCAGGGCGTGGTACATAATATCTGATCTTAGAAAGAATGCCCACAGTTTTTGCAACTTTTTTTGATATGTTTAGAATGTGTCCCTGGAAATTCAGTCCCTGAAATTATTCCTTGTACATTTCTTACCCACAAATTCTCCACTATTTCATGTGTCATGTGTACAGTAGGTGCATTTATATAAATAAAAATAACATTATTATTGAGAAAATCAATTGGAGCCATGCGGGGCACTCAAACCAGTATCATGGGTACTCCCAACTGCACACTTTGACCCACTGAACCTCAATACACTGCAAGTATTTACCTGAGGGCCACTATCTATCTCTCTAGTGGCCTCAATGAGGACAGGAATCCGGTGGCTTGTTAAATGTCACCTCATTTATCCTGACGATTTAGAGATTCAGCAGCATTTTGGCATTTACGGGTAGGCAGTTCCAGAGTTTTATAACCCTACGAGTGAAAAAGCATCTCTCCTTTTTTTTTTTTCTGTCCTACATTGTGACTTGTTGAGCTTGAAACTGTTGCTCCTAGTTTGTGTTACATCTGACCTTTTAAAGAAATTGTCTGGATTAATGTTCTCCAAAATTGTTCAGTGTTTTAAAGATTTTGATGAGATTGGCCCCTGTCATCTCCGGTTTGCAATGTTGTTAGCACTGTTGCCCTCGACTGTTCCTGGTATGAGAGTCGACTTAGTTCTGGAATGATTTGTGTTGCCCAGTGTTAACCTTTCTCCAAAGCAGATATGTCTTCCTGAAGATGAGGTCTCCATGTTTGGATACAAAAATACAAATGGGGGGTGTGCACCCGAGATTGAATAACTACCCCTTTTTTCCTTGAAGTCAAAGCTTCACATGACCATTCCTAGGGTTTGGTTAGTTTTTTTTTTAACTTCAGATCCCACTTGTGCAACTTTCAGTGATTATTGGATTCTGACTAAAAAGCATATTTCTTCATCAATATGTTGCAAGTTAATGTTGTTATGGTAGTTATGACATGCATTGTTATGCCTTACACCCAAAGTTTTGCATTTTCTGTTAAAAAGTATTGGTCAGTCTTCCAACCATTTGTGGAATTCATGTAGATCTCCTCACTATCATTTTCACTTCCTACTTTACCATAAATCTTAGTGTCATCTGCAGATAGCTGCTCTGCAGAGTGCAACACTGGGCAACAAAAAACATTCTAGAGCCAAGTCACGTATCAAGAACAGTTGAGGGCCACAGGGCTGACAACACTCCAAACCGGGCATGACAGGGCAGATATTACTGAAACTTTTAAAATACTTAACAATTTGGAGGATGTTGATCTGGACAATTTCTTCAAAAGGTCAGATGTAACACAAACAAGGGGCAACGGTTTCAAGCTAAACAAGCCACAATGTAGGACTGAGAACAGGAGATGTTTTTTTCACCCATAGGGTTATAAACTCGTGGAACTGCCTACACGCAGAAGCCATAAGTGCCAAAACCCTGTTAAATTTTAAAATTCAACTGGAAAAGATAAAGACAAATGGGGGGAACCTTCGACAAGCCACTGGCTTCCTGTCCTTGTCAAGGCCATTAGTGTTAGTGACCCTAGAGTAAATTCAGGTAAATATTAGTTACTTTGTGAGAATGTACCTGTACCAAACTTAGCACTTTATTCATATTAATTTGTTTGTTGCTATCTGCTGGGACTACTAATATGAATATGTTGTATACTCTAAGATGTTCACCAAACCTAATAATTAATTCCCATGGTCAGGGACAGGAAGCATGTGCTGTGCATAGGCTTGATGTCCTCTCTGGTGAACTACAGACTTTCCCAGTCTATAGTGCCTATTTTACTACCTTGGGTCCCTCAATTGTGAGCTGAGAATGTAGACCACTGTGCTACTTTCTTGACTGCAATTAAATGAGATAGTTAAATAGCAAATTGTATTAAATGTTGTTAGTACCAATTCACTTTTGTTGCAGTATTACTTTAAGGATGTATTGTATTTATAATCTTTCAAATACTGTAGAAAGTTGATGATCTTATAACAGTATCGTAGGTCTAGAAAAGCTTACATTAATAATCCTATTTAATAACTTTTCCACTTTAAATGTGATTAAATGTATATGCTTTAACAAAAGATTTTGCGAAGTGCTGACCTGCATTTGTGAAATACACTGTGCTCTGAAATTTTCATAATGTACATCTTGCGTTACTTCCTTCATGTCTTGCATATGTGTAGAGATCAACATCGTGCGTAGCTTCACGAAGTCACAGTGAGCAGAGTTCTCAACTAAAATACATATCTATATATAATGATCAATTTAATATAAAACATATGATATACTGCATTGCATATCAGTTTTGGAGTGAGTATAGTGTTTGTACTCATGACAAGCAAACACTATACTCGCTCAAAGTTCATAAAAGAATTAAAAGAAAATGATTTAATGAAATGAGTTTTAATTTAATAAATTTAATAAAAACATTTAATTAAGATTAAAATTTTATCATATGGAGAGGCAATTATCAGCATGACTATTATATCCAGTGAATCTTATTGTATGGTATTCTAACACAAACCTTCCACAATACCCCATGGGTACTGTCGCCCCCTCATCTTTCTTCCCGCCACCTCAATAATGCAGTTAGATCCAATTACAGCAAAGGGAATGGATGCCTTTAACTCTCGATCTTGTTGCTTAAAATCCTCATCCTCATCTGAATCACACTCAGGAAACTGATATATCTGCAAAAAAAAGTGTGGTAGCCAAACAGACCTTCAAATATGCAATATTAATATTGAAAGTAACAGCGACTGAAAATTCCGAGACTTGTACATTGATAAAAGACTGGGGACACAGCCCAAAATGTATACAAAACGACTGACATAATTTTAAAAAATTAGATACTGTGCTGTATTATGGTTACCTCAATGCTCTTCTCATATTGTTACATTTTTTTATATAAACTCTGGGACAAACCATTACAACATTTACTTGAACACTACATTACTGAATGTGAAACTGTAAGAGATTTTAGACCTGCTGTCATGTTGTACAATCAACTATTTCATTGAAACTGGTACTGTATATTGGAAGAAATCCTAACTATTTATCCTAAATTTGCTTGTCTGTGTGGAAGAAGAAAGAATGGGATAAAAAGAGAAAAGAAAATGGTAAAAGGAAGGAAAGGATTTTTTGTTTAAGCTGCATCTGTTATGGATCCATCCCCATCACATGTGGCAGTGAACAATAGAAAGATGCATTTACAAATTTGTATACTGAAATGTGTATAATGTCTGAGGTAGTAGATTGCAACCTCATGAAATGTTTAAGTCTTCAATTTGAACCTATTTTTATATGGTTCAATATCGCTATCTCTCTTCATCTTCTGTCCTGTGTGGCAGTGAATATAAGCAGCATTCTTGTTGCAGTGAGTTTAGAATTACTCCAATTAGGCAAAATTGTATCAGTATTAATTTTCTCAATGAAGATGTAATAATAATAACTAAGGGTTCCCTTTTAGTTATGTCATTTGTCCGTATGGCTCAAGCCATCCTCAAATCTATCATAACCGAGCATGCAGAATCTTCAAATCCTCTTCAAATCCCTAAACATGCTAAACATACTATGCACTCCACACATTCTATTGTGCAATTTATACTTACAAATCCTTACTCAATATTAACCCGATTGAAAACTCTTCCAAATGGATTTATTAGAACCCATGAACATCACATCCGAAATAATCAGCTACTCGGTATTCACAGAATTCAAAATGCAAGCACATAATGCAAATAGAAACCCAGTGCTGTATATGGAACTCCTTTTCTAATTAAATAATTACTTATTTTATATATATATATATATATATATATATATATATATATATATATATATATATATATATATATATATATATATATATATATATATATATATAATGTGTGTGTGTGAACAAGCCTGAATGGTCCCCAGGACTATATGCAACTGAAAACTCACACCCCAGAAGTGACTCGAACCCATACTGCCAGGAGCAACGCAACTGGTATGTACAGGACGTGTACATACCAGTCCGGTCGTGATGGTCAAGTGGATTAAGGCGTCCTGTACATACCAGTTGCGTTGCTCCTGGCAGTATGGGTTCGAGTCACTTCTGGGGCGGGGAAGTGGTTCAAATAGCTTCGGCTATCACTTCCTTAGTCCGGTCGTGATGGTCAAGTGAATTAAGGCGTCCTGTACATACCACTTGCGTTGCTCCTTGCAGTATGGGTTCGAATCACTTCTGGGGTGTGAGTTTTCAGTTGCATGTAGTCCTGGGAACCATTCAGGCTTGTTCACACACACACACACACACATTTTATATATATATATATATATATATATATATATATATATATATATATATATATATATATATATATATATATATATATATTATATATATAACTGAAAACTCACACCCCAGAAGTGACTCGAACCCATACTCCCACAACTGGTATGTACAGGGACGCCTTAATCCGCTTGACCATCACGACCGGACTAAGGAAGTGATAGCCGAGGCTATATGAACCACTTCCCCGCCGGCACTCGGATGGTAATCTTGGGCATAGCATTTTATCAAATCACCTCATTCTTTGGGGCACACGTGAGGAACACAAATGCAATGTTCTGGGGTGTGAGTTTTCAGTTGTATATAGTCCTGGGGACCATTCAGGCTTGTTTGCATATATATATATATATATTAGTATATTTTGGTAGCAGTCTTTCCTGTAGACATATTTTATTAAATATGACCGAAAAAGTAAGATTAATAATTCTAACACGAATTTTCTCAATCTTTCGTACATTATGCTTCACTGTTGGAGGTAAATCAAAAATCACTTCTCCAAAATTCATTTTTATTTCTAGTCTGACGCGACACGGGCGCGTTTCGTAAAACTTATTACATTTTCAAAGACTTCACAAATACACAACTGATTAGAACTTGCGTTTCCCTGATTTTATATCTACATTTGAGTGAGGTGGGAAGGGTGATGTGGCATTACATTTGAGTAAGGTGGGAAGGATGATGTGGCATTAGAGGATATTAATAGGGTATTAAAAGTATCAACACAAGACAGAACACGAAACAATGGATATTGAATAGAAGTGTTTGTAGAAAGCCTATTGGTCCATATTTCTTGATGCTTCTATATTGGAGCGGAGTCTTGAGGTGGGTAGAATATAGTTGTATAGTTATACAACTATATTCTACCCACCTCAAGACTCCGCTCCAATATAGAAGCATCAAGAAATATGGACCAATAGGCTTTCTACAAACACTTCTATTCAATATCCATTGTTTCGTGTTCTGTCTTGTGTTGATACTTTTAATACCCTATTAATATCCTCTAATGCCACATCATCCTTCCCACCTTACTCAAATGTAATGCCACATCACCCTTCCCACCTCACTCAAATGTAGATATAAAATCAGGGAAACGCAAGTTCTAATCAGTTGTGTATTTGTGAAGTCTTTGAAAATGTAATAAGTTTTACGAAACGCGCCCGTGTCGCGTCAGACTAGAAATAAAAATGAATTTTGGAGAAGTGATTTTTGATTTACCTCCAACAGTGAAGCATAATGTACGAAAGATTGAGAAAATTCGTGTTAGAATTATTAATCTTACTTTTTCGGTCATATTTAATAAAATATATATATATATATATATATATATTTAGTGCCTAGTGCGACTAGTGCGACTAGTGCCCGTCTTGGGCACTAGTCCAACTTCAGAGGAATTCGAAGAAGTGTTTGACTTGCAACAATGATCGAACCCGTCTGTGACATTCATCAATGTTTCCCATTGTTGTGTTCTTCAAGAGATCCATAACCTTTAAGCACCTTTTTGCATTATTATTTTTGTATCAACCCATGTATATCTTGTAACCATCAAATGCATAATAAAGCACAAAAAATATTCAAGGAAGGGGGTGGTAGGAGAAAAGCACACAGAAACTGTATTGGAGGGGATCTAAACATTCCCTCTAATGCGTTATGCGTGGTTTCCTCCGAGGCTATGGGTCCCCCTTCTTCCAGCTAGAGGTATATATATATATATATATATATATATATATATATATATATATATATATATATATATATATATATATATATATATGAGAAGGTACATTGGGTTTGAGAGTACATAGCATTGATGTTTTTACATTCTTGTAAAGCCACTAACACGCATAGCATTTCAGGCAGGACCTTAGTCTAACAAATAAATTTTAAGTAGGTAATTTGTAGCAAAATTGAAAATGTTAACAGGTACATTGTAAGAAAATTTGAAAAAAATTAGTAGGTACATCATAGTAAAATTTGAAGATTATTAACAGGTGCAGTACATTGTAGCATAATTTGAGGATTGTTTCTAGGTACATTATAGTAAAATTTGCATTCAACATAACAATCAAGATATGAGATGATTGCAGTGATTACAACGGTGAAGTTGTATGGCACATATTTTGGGGGAGTGGGAAGCACAAGATATAATGTAAGTTTGAAGCACTAGCTAGGAAACTATGAGGATGAAATTAGGTATTGTTTGGTTTTACTTTTGAATAAGGCATAAGTTGGACAGCTTTTTAATTCGTTGGGTAGTGAGTTGCATAGACCAGGTCCCTTTATTTGCATAGAGTTTTTACACAAGTTTAGTTTACTCTGGGGATATCAAAGAGATATTTATTTCTGGTGTGGTGATTATGGGTTCTATTACATCTGTCAAGGAAGAGTTTCAGATCAGGATTTGCATCTAGGAACAAGATTTTGTACATGTAAATGGCACAGGAGAATGTGTGGAGTGAGTTTGTGTAGCATGTTTAGGGATTTGAAAAGGGGAAGGCTGTGTTTTGTCTGAAAACAGAGTTTGTTATTGTTCTGATAGCAGATTTTTGCTGGGTGATGATGAGCTTGAGGTAGTTTGCAGTGGTTGAACCCTATGCACAGATACCGCATGTAAAATAGGGATAGATTAGTGCATAGTAGTGTCTTTTTAATCTTTTGCCAGTTACTTGCTTAGTGAGGAGAGGACAATGAGTGTTTTAGAGGCTAAGAGTTTTGGAAAGAAAGAGGTTGGCTAATGACCTTGGGTACCCTGAGATGGTTTCGGAGTTTAGTGTCCCCGCGGCGGTCCTTGACCAGGGGCCAGATTCACGAAAGCACTTACGAACGTGTACATCTTTCCTCAATCTTTGACGGCTTTGGTTACATTTATTAAACAGTTTACAAGCATGAAAACTTCCCATTCAACTGTTGTTATTGTTATAGACAGACTCCTGGGGCTTCGGAGCTCATTAACTGTTTAATAATTGTAAACAAAGCCGCCAAAGATTGAGAAAAGATGTATAGGTTCGTAAGTGCTTGCGTAAGTGCTTTCGTGAATCTGCCCCCGCCTCCAACTTTGGGTAGCTGTGGGTAATTAGACAGACTGCCAAAAACTGTTGAACTGGAAAATCCAGTTTGAAAAAATCGTCAGGACAAATGAGGACCTTTGGCAAGCCACTGGCTTCCTGTCCTCTATGAGGTCACTGGAGTATTAGTGGCCATCAGGTAAAGTCAGACTTTCTTGTATGAAATATTCTAAAATTCTGCATTTAATTTAATGCTTCTTTGTATCATAAATTCACTAAAATTTACGAATGTGTGATAAATATTTAGTTCAACATTTTATAAATGCTAATTATAATTACTCATACACACCTTTATCTTGTTAGTTTCGATATCATTGAGAATGTTGGTCTTGAGCTTGTTTATTTCTGTTTTGGTTAGTGTGTCAGACTTTGCTATGACGGGCACAATGTTGACCTTCCGGTGGAGGCGTCTCATAAACTCCACATCCATCTGCCTCAGCCTGTGGAGGAGCCATCCTGTCAGCCACACACAAGTTGATAGTCATGCTCCTATCAGAATAATATCCCCCCCCCCCCGCCCTTTACTCCGTCAGAACTCATGGGATATGGGTTCCCGCATCCCCCCTGCCCCTCAATCTTCCTTGTGCTGCCGAGATCGCCGAGGGCCAAATTCACGAAAGCACTTACGCAAACACTTACGAACCTGTACATCTTTTCTCAATCTTTGGCGGCTTTGTTTCCAATTATTAAACAGTTAATGAGCTCCGAAGCACGAGAAGGCTCTTTATAACAATAACAACAATTGATTGGGAAGATTTCATGCTTGTAAACTTTTTAATAAATGTAACCACAGCCGTCAAAGATTGAGGAAAGATGTACACGTTCGTAAGTGCTTGCGTGAATCTGCCCCTGCAGGAGCCTCACCCGTGGCCGTAGGGCGGGACAAAGTACAGGCAACAGTGGACTCTGTGGTCCTGGATGTTCTTGCGGTTGAGTCCTGACTCGTCCTGGAAGAACTTGTTGAACTGCTCGTCCACGTATCGCTCCACCGACTTCCACCCTTCCTCACAGTTAACGGCGTCCCCAAACCCTGCAAGACACAAAGATGTCATTTGTGGCCCACTAGCTAACATTTATTCAAGCATCTAACGTTGACAGTAACAACACTTATAACATATTAAAGCTTCAACTCACCCGGGGTGTCGACGACGGTCAGCCGCAGCTTGACTCCTCTCTCTTCTATCTCAATGGTCTTCTTTTCTATGGTGACGGTCTTCTCCACCAGGGCTGCGGGAGGAGGCAAGGATCAGTACAAGCCAACTTCCTCCTCAGGAGTGCACTGGCACGAGTCCTCGGCTAGCCACTCTTTATATGTATGCGTCGTCAGTTACTGAGAGAATACATTGAGACATCTTCAGCTAGTGGCAGCTTCCTCTAGCCTCTGTAATCCCACTTTTTGAAGAGGCTTCTCTCTAATCTTGCACTAGCTGAGGACACCTTTCTCTTAACTCCCACTAGCTGAGCTTACACCAGCGACTCAGTGAACCAACCCAGAAACGTTGTCAGCTAACGCGGCACTCAGGCGCCATCAGGTATAGTCACTGTTGCAACAACTTTCAAAACCGCAACAATAACAAGTGTCACTGGTACAAGTGTCCTGCACTCTGACCACAACTCGTTTCAACGAAGGTCACAACACCCATAAACCAGTCCGGGATATACGAGAACTGTTATTTAATATTCAAAGCCTGAAGCAGGTTTGGGGATGATTACTGTCATCAATAAACCGAACTTATATTCTTCATATTAACCGGTCTACCACTTTCCCCAGGCCACTAGTAGCCATATAATTAATTTTGTTAGGGGTCAGGCAGCCTGTGTATATATATATGCTCTGTTAAATTTTAAAATCTAACTGGAAAAGATCATGAGGACAAATGAGGGGACGTTTGACAAGCTGCCGGTTCCTGTTCTCGTCGAGGCCACTATATAGTAGACCCCAGGATGTAACCAGAAACAGTGAAATAACTCTCAGGTATCTGAGAGTTCACTGCTAGGTGAACAGAGGCATAAGACGATAGTCCTTAATCCTATTTTTCACACGCATCCCCCCCCCCCGGAAGCAGCTGTCTAACTCCCAGGTACCTATTTACTGCTAGGTGAACAGACGCATCAGGGTGAAAGAAACCCTGCCCAGTTGTTCCCGCCTACCCCGGGGATTGAACCCGGACCCTTAGGACTACGAACCCCGAGCTGGCCTGGTATTATATTAACTGGTGTGCTAGTTCTCTCAGCCTCCGGTGGTCATATTAATCAACCTGCTAAATAACTGTTCCAGCGGTTGTGCTGCTCGCAGTAGGCAGGCATCAAGTAGAGATCATTCCGCTAAATTATTATGACTCTGTCTCTGTTATGACCACACATACACCAGTATGATTATCATACTGTGGCTGGTGTATGATCTTCATACTGTGGCTGGTGTATGATGATCATACTGTGGCTGGTGTATGATGATCATACTGTGGCTGGTGTATGATGATCATACTGTGGCTGGTGTATGTTCTTCATACTGTGGCTGGTGTATGATGATCATACTGTGGCTGGTGTATGATGATCATACTGTGGCTGGTGTATGATGATCATACTGTGGCTGGTGTATGATGATCATACTGTGGCTGGTGTATGATGATCATACTGTGGCTGGTGTATGATGATCATACTGTGGCTGGTGTATGATGATCATACTGTGGCTGGTGTATGATGATCATACTGTGGCTGGTGTATGATGATCATACTGTGGCTGGTGTATGATGATCATACTGTGGCTGGTGTATGATGATCATACTGTGGCTGGTGTATGATGATCATACTGTGGCTGGTGTATGATGATCATACTGTGGCTGGTGTATGATCTTCATACTGTGGCTGGTGTATGATCTTCATACTGTGGCTGGTGTATGATGATCATACTGTGGCTGGTGTATGATGATCATACTGTGGCTGGTGTATGATGATCATACTGTGGCTGGTGTATGATGATCATACTGTGGCTGGTGTATGATGATCATACTGTGGCTGGTGTATGATGATCATACTGTGGCTGGTGTATGATGATCATACTGTGGCTGGTGTATGATGATCATACTGTGGCTGGTGTATGATGATCATACTGTGGCTGGTGTATGATGATCATACTGTGGCTGGTGTATGATGATCATACTGTGGCTGGTGTATGATGATCATACTGTGGCTGGTGTATGATGATCATACTGTGGCTGGTGTATGATGATCATACTGTGGCTGGTGTATGATGATCATACTGTGGCTGGTGTATGATGATCATACTGTGGCTGGTGTATGATGATCATACTGTGGCTGGTGTATGATGATCATACTGTGGCTGGTGTATGATGATCATACTGTGGCTGGTGTATGATGATCATACTGTGGCTGGTGTATGATGATCATACTGTGGCTGGTGTATGATGATCATACTGTGGCTGGTGTATGATGATCATACTGTGGCTGGTGTATGATGATCATACTGTGGCTGGTGTATGATGATCATACTGTGGCTGGTGTATGATGATCATACTGTGGCTGGTGTATGATGATCATACTGTGGCTGGTGTATGATGATCATACTGTGGCTGGTGTATGATCTTCATACTGTGGCTGGTGTATGATGATCATACTGTGGCTGGTGTATGATGATCATACTGTGGCTGGTGTATGATGATCATACTGTGGCTGGTGTATGATGATCATACTGTGGCTGGTGTATGATGATCATACTGTGGCTGGTGTATGATCTTCATACTGTGGCTGGTGTATGATGATCATACTGTGGCTGGTGTATGATGATCATACTGTGGCTGGTGTATGATCATACTGTGGCTGGTGTATGATGATCATACTGTGGCTGGTGTATGATGATCATACTGTGGCTGGTGTATGATGATCATACTGTGGCTGGTGTATGATGATCATACTGTGGCTGGTGTATGATGATCATACTGTGGCTCGTGTATGATGATCATACTGTAGCTGGTGTATGATGATCATACTGTGGCTCGTGTATGATCTTCATACTGTGGCTGGTGTGCAAAGCAACTTAATTGCAGCCATTTCTGAGGACATAGTGTTTCCCGCCGTCTGAGCCTATCACCCCGTGTGTCACCCACCACACGTGTTGTCACCCACCACACGTGTTGTCCCCCACCACACGTGTTGTCACCCACCACACGTGTTGTCCCCCACCACACGTGTTGTCACCCACCACACGTGTTGTCCCCCACCACACGTGTTGTCCCCCACCACACGTTTTGTCACCCACCACACGTGTTGTCACCCACCACACGTGTTGTCACCCACCACACGTGTTGTCCCCCACCACACGTGTTGTCCCCCACCACACGTTTTGTCACCCACCACACGTGTCACCCACCACACGTGTTGTCACCCACCACACGTGTTGTCACCCACCACACGTGTTGTCCCCCACCACACGTGTTGTCCCCCACCACACGTGTTGTCACCCACCACACGTGTTGTCACCCACCACACGTGTTGTCCCCCACCACACGTGTTGTCCCCCACCACACGTGTTGTCCCCCACCACACGTGTTGTCACCCACCACACGTGTTGTCCCCCACCACACGTTTTGTCACCCACCACACGTGTCACCCACCACACGTGTTGTCACCCACCACACGTGTTGTCACCCACCACACGTGTTGTCACCCACCACACGTGTTGTCCCCCACCACACGTGTTGTCACCCACCACACGTGTTGTCCCCCACCACACGTGTTGTCCCCCACCACACGTGTTGTCACCCACCACACGTGTTGTCACCCACCACACGTGTTGTCACCCACCACACGTGTTGTCCCCAACCACACGTGTTGTCACCCACCACACGTGTTGTCCCCCACCACACGTGTTGTTACCCACCACACATGTTGTCCCCCACCACACGTGTTGTCCCCCACCACACGTGTTGTCCCCCACCACACGTGTTGTCACCCACCACACGTGTCACCCACCACACGTGTTGTCACCCACCACACGTGTTGTCACCCACCACACGTGTTGTCACCCACCACACGTGTTGTCCCCCACCACACGTGTTGTCCCCCACCACACGTGTTGTCACCCACCACACGTGTTGTCACCCACCACACGTGTTGTCCCCCACCACACGTGTTGTCCCCCACCACACGTGTTGTCCCCCACCACACGTGTTGTCACCCACCACACGTGTTGTCACCCACCACACGTGTTGTCACCCACCACACGTGTTGTTCCCCACCACACGTGTTGTCCCCCACCACACGTGTTGTCACCCACCACACGTGTTGTCCCCCACCACAAGTGTTGTCCCCCACCACACGTGTTGTCACCCACCACACGTGTTGTTCCCCACCACACGTGTTGTCCCCCACCACACGTGTTGTCACCCACCACACGTGTTGTTCCCCACCACACGTGTTGTCCCCCACCACACGTGTTGTCCCCCACCACACGTGTTGTTACCCACCACACGTGTTGTCCCCCACCACACGTGTTGTCACCCACCACACGTGTCACCCACCACACGTGTCACCCACCACACGTGTTGTCACCCACCTCACGTGTTGTCACCCACCACACGTGTTGTCACCCACCACACGTGTTGTCACCCACCACACGTGTTGTCACCCACCACACGTGTTGTCACCCACCACACGTGTTGTCACCCACCACACGTGTTGTCACCCACCACACGTGTTGTCACCCACCACACGTGTTGTCACCCACCACACGTGTTGTCACCCACCACACGTGTCACCCACCACATGTGTCACCCACCACACGTGTCACCCACCACACGTGTTGTCACCCACCCCATTTGTCCCCCACCACACGTGTTGTCACCCACCACACGTGTTGTCCCCCACCACACGTGTTGTCACCCACCACACGTGTTAATCGTTGTCATGGGAGACTCGTGTCAACACCTGCCAAGAGTATTAACCCCCATAACTCGTGCTGCTACAAACTGGATTATTTCTTACATTTAACGAGGGCCTGCTTCTGGGTTCGAACCTGATTCATAGCCACAAACACCAATACAAATTTGGCGTGAGAAGCTATAGTTACCCTTAAGATTGCCACAGGCAATTAAGGAGCTAAACGACCTAGCGGATAGGAGTGCCAAGGAATTGAACTCCGGCAGTTGCTCTCTTAATCGCCTTTTATTTTTTTTTAAGTTTTACAGTATAATCTCACATCTGATACTGTCTGCTTTGTGCAGTCCTTTCTAACTGAGAGTTCACAAATAAATAACAATTCTCACATAGTAATAAGGCTCCATTCTGCCCTTGGACTCATACTGGCCTTATGAGACCAAACTTGGATACTGTAGCAGAATTTTGGGTATCGAATTATAGAACGGATGTAAATATTTTTTTTAGTGTACAGAGAAAGATAACTAAGATAATCTTGACTGTATTACTGACAAGTCCTCCTATTGTACATATTAGGGAATAGAGTTCAAGTAGAGGATCAAAGAGGGCGAGCACTCACACTCTCCTGTGGGGACTTTTCTCTCCTTGTAGAGGTCTGTGAGGAAGAGGCTGTTAATGAGAGTAGACTTGCCGAGGCCAGACTCGCCCACCACCATCAGCGTGAAGTCGAACCCTCTCTTAACACTCTTCCTGTGGACTTGCTCCGGCAGCGTAGCGAACCCGATGAAATCCTGAGCATTCTGGAGGCAGAAGAGACCAGCGTCAGTCACTTGGCTCACAGAGCGCCGACACCCACACACCTCACCACAACATGTCGGTGCATGTTTACACCTCAATACTATCTATCTCCCAGTTAGGTTTCCCCTCTCCGTAATATTCATGTAATAATTATATTAGAGAGTATACAGATAGTCTGGGACACAGATAATAATAATAATAATAATAATAATAATAATAATAATAATAATAACAATGTTTATTCAGGTAAAAGTAAATACATACATACTGAATACTATGCCTACAGCAACCCGTTCTCGCACTTTCGTATAGTCAATATTGACTTATTAAATACGTGCATATGTGACATACTAAACATACTAGTTTACCTTAAAAAGCTTCATAGAAAACACTGACCTTACCTAACCTTCTTAGTTTGTTAAGATAAGCATCTTATTGCTTCGTAATTACAATTATTACTTAACCTATTATAGGTATAGGTTAAGTAATAATTGTAATTACGAAGCAATAAGATGCTTATCTTAACATACTAAGAAGGTTAGGTAAGGTCAGTGTTTTCTATGAAGCTTTTCAAGGTAAACTAGTATGTTTAGTATGATATATATATATCATACTAAACAGCTACTACGATATATATACTATGCCTACAGCTACTACAATATATATACTGTGCCTACAGCTACTACGGTATATATACTGTGCCTACAGCTACTACAATATATATACTGTGCCTACAGCTACTACGGTATATATACTGTGCCTACAGCTACTACGGTATATATACTATGCCTACAGCTACTACAATATATATACTGTGCCTACAGCTACTACGGTATATATACTGTGCCTACAGCTACTACGATATATATACTGTGCCTACAGCTACTAA